ACCACAGTATTAGCTTCTACTGAACAACTTGTATCTATTGTATGTATTCTTATGATGATACTTCTGGTTAGTTTAAATCATTCACAACCAAACTGTTTGACATATGGTCTGTCAGTCTTTTAGTACAGTTCTCTCAACATACTTGCTTACACAGGTACAGTTCAATAAATAAATACATTTAGAAGTAACTACAGAAGATCTCTTATCAAAGTAAGATTTCATTAATTTTTCAATCCAATAACATAACTCTTAACCCATGATTTTTCGAATTTATTCAATAACTAGTGACTAAACTACTGTTGAATGTTGTTTTCTTCAAGGAAGGATAAAGCGATGAAGTACAATCAATTCAAATCAAACTAAATTAATAGAGCAGAGCTTTTTATTCTTTTTGTCTAATAGTTTTTACATTGGTCTCAGTTACAATGTTAAAATATTAATTCAATATGTAATTAATGAAATAATATTTGAGTTATTTATTTGATTTGATAATTGTGTAGATTATGATCGATCGCGTGAACAATGACCTAAAATGAACGAACTCAAGTGATTTAACTGGTTCTTTTGTTTGGTTCAGTTTGTTTAAATAATAAATAACCCCTTTTCATTAAATCAATTCGACCTATTTGAATCAAATATAAAATGTGACAAATTAGATTAAAACAAACCTTAATAAAATATAACCGGATCATAAATAAATCATATTAGATCTGTACAGAAATGTCTCGTAAGATAAAGTATATATATATATATATATATATATATATATATATATATATATATATATATATATGTTCAAAAGTTAGTGGTATAGTGGAATTAGTAGTTGAAAGAGAAACGAGGTAACGTTTTAAGCCAATCGTGAAGTGAAGGAAGACTTGGTGCAAAATAACCATTTCATTGTTTAGTACAAAATTACAGAATGCTTTCATAAAATACGAAAACCATACATTGAATACTTCATTCACACATCTTCCATCAATTGTCTCTTACAAAATTCATTGTTCCTTCATTCCAATTATTATTATTATTATTAAAATTACTTCATGTTTACATCCCTGTTCTCTTCAATTCGATTTTCTCAATCTTCTGTTGCCAGGTATCCCACTTCTGATTGATGTTACATACTGTTTATATCTGTCGATATAAGTAGCATACACCACAACGTTACTGGGTTCAAGTTGGTGGAGTGTGTGGGTGGGATGAACATCAACTCAGGTGCAGATAAATCCAGCTGACGAGTCCACCATAATCACATTTCTTGTACTCACTCATATTACCATGTCTCTGTTGCTTATTCCGTTTTGTCTAGAAATCACATTAATATGAATATGGTAAGCGACTATAATTGTTTATTTTTTATTAATAAGCTAAAATTTATATGAATGTTTCACACAGATACCAGATTTGTTAAACATTCTACTGAATCATCCAGGTTAGTGCATATTCAGAAATATTAAGACTACATGAAATCATTAGATGAATTCACTTCATCTATCAAACAAACTTATATGAAACAAGTGATTGACTTAAAATGTTATTTATCAAAACAGTTTAGAAAGAACACTTGTTTCAATTCATATGGAAATGATTATATTAAAATATTTTATTCAATTATCCGAAATCTACATTAAAACAATTGTATATTGCGATGTATTATCATTATCACAGGATTACTACTGACCAGTTATTCAATGAACTCCTTGAAATTCTTTACTCCAAAATCGTGAATTATGGAAGTAATCAAGTCATTGGTTATATAGTAACATAGTCTGTAGAATTCTTTCAGCACTTAAGGACTGGCAGAACATGAATTCGATTACTAATAAGTGGCTAATTAATTGTAAATATCTCAATCCTACGTCACGAAGAAAAAAAATCCTCCGAACACTCAGGGAATTGCTCTGATGCTGTTCAAAGAAGCACGAAATGGGTGTTGACGATTTTCTCATGTACACCATAATGTTGAAGAAGTTTCCATGAGGTTCTTATATCCACTGTCGAATGCTTTCCTATAATCAACGAAGTTGATGTATAGTAACAGGTTTCATTCACTTGCTCAACAATGATCCGTAGTGTTACAGTTTGGTTCATCCATGATCGTAACTTACGGAATCCAGCTTTTCGATTTGGACTTTGGGCGTCTACTGAGTCTTTTATCTGCTTCAGATTATGATAGACTTGTCATCTGGATTTAGCCGGACCGCCATAGTTTGCTTGGAGTTGGCGATGATAATATATATCTACTCCAAAAACACTACCACAAACCTCTAGGTAATTAGTACACACTTATAAACAGTCGATTTCAGACGGTTAATGAATTCCTGAAGCTGTCAAGTGGACATTTTATTTTTATGTCAGTTCTCTCAAAAAAAACACGCAACCATTGATCAATTCTATTCGAATAACACATACGGGTGAAAAATATTTCACTTTCTTCCAGTGATTTGTTAACTGATATGAACCAAGTGCCAATGATATTATTAACAATACAGTAATTTCGTTTTCTCATTATCATAGTCAGAATCTTAAATGCGAATGTCAAGACAGTTCTGTGGTACGAAGCTGAAACTTACAGAACTACCACAACCATCATCCAAATAGTACAAGTATTTATAATTAATTGTCCACTCAATTTCCGTTGACCGGATACCATGAGCAACAGTTTACTATGGGATAGGACTAACCAGCTTCCATATGAAGAGGAAATTAGTAGAAGGTGCTGGGAGTCGATAAGACTTATATTACGAAAATCATCAATCAAACTACATCACGATGCGAGCCTTAATTTGGAATCCTGAAGGGAAACGGAAAAGAGGAAGACCAAAGAACCAAGTGTATCTAGAATGGGAAGTAGACATGAAAAGGATGAATAGAAGCTGGAAAGAACTGGAAAGGCTTTCTCAGGATGAAGTTGAATGCCTATGCTTCTCGACGAGTGGTAAAATGCGTAAGTAAGTAATCTCAGTGCTACAGATCATTATTGGCTTGAATAGCTCATTGATAACGTCTGAGGCTTTTAAGCTGGATGATACGTTATTGAGCCTGTTGTGGAATATTTGATCCCTAAAGATTACACGTGAGCCTTACTGACCGGTGCCAACTAGTATGTTACCTAAATCCGAAGATTTCTGCTGACTTCCTTCAAAGGCCCAACACAATAAATGTCGATGACTTGAGATGAGAACCACGCTATGTAACAAAGAAACCGGAGCTTTGAATTTCATTCATTGAATCTCTACTTAGCAGCTTACATTTGCCATGCCTGCCATAAGAACTGAAGGTTCCGGGTGTACTCTTGAATGGAATAACGTTTGTTAATTCTATCTTGGGTGTCAAATCAAATCTATACACCTATTTTATCATATCATGTTCTTTACCTGATGAAAATTATCATTCAGATATGTTTGATTATCTTTTTTAAGATATAGTTCTAAGCAAAACTTAGAACATATAAATTTATCTTTCAAACTGGGCTTATTTACACAAAAAATGTGATCAATTAGACTGAAATAGTTCCTTAGTTAAAAGTTATACTACTATCAAGTAGCTTAAAACATCCCTAAAAAACGTATTCTCGAGTAATCATAGCAGACTATATATATATACCTTATGAACAATTTACCTGATTCAAATATTTTGTCGAAAATTGACCTTGTAAGTGAGTATCGTCATACGCAAATTCACCCTGACTATATTCCGAAGACAGCTATCACCTCCCATTTCAGCACTAAAAACTCAGAGAAAACATTCCAGCAGTTTGTCAATCAGGTTCTGCTGGGTTCATCGTTTGTATACACATATAAGGAATCGCTGCTAATGGCTAGTAAAGACGAGACAGAGTCTAACTCATTTAAAAAGACTATTTGAAAAGCTGAATGAATACGGCTAAGCAACTAGTCTGGCAAAATGTGAACTCGGAAAGTGGTTTCTTATTTTTTCGGTTCATATACTTAAGAATCAAGATATCATGAAAACTTACCCTTCAGTAGATTAATTTTAAAAATCACATCTATTTTCAGGACCCGTTAAATTCTGTCCTTGATCCATCCGTAATTATGTTGCTATTCTTCAATTGTTGATGGATAGTCTACAAAACTGTTCACAAACATCTCACCCCAAGTCACACAATCATTTAAAAGCAAGAAAGATACGCTTAATAAACAATCATTTTTGTATATTAATAATAACAATAAATTTATACATTTTCGATTTTAAAATGAAATAATTCTGTACAAAGTAGCTATAATGTGTATGCGGAAAAGAGGTATACAAAAAAGGAGGTAAGATTATGAGTTAACGATCCATGGGTCAAAGACTAATGAATATATCTCATAAATTAAAACAATAAATATATTCCAGAAATTAGTCATCATTATAAATAATACATAAATATTTTGTTAGAATTCTTTCAGTATCAGTTGTAGATTACTAAGACTTAGTTTATCAGTAGTATCCAAGATGATCCGTGCAAAATTAAATCTATTTACAACTTTTTAGATAAGAGACATAATTACATTTTTTTTAAAAATAATTAGATGCAACATGTCGTTTTTAATAGTAGGCAGTCATCTACTAATGATTGGTAGTACACAGAACACATATAACACACAATAGTAAAACAAACAAAATGAAAATTAACAAAACTAAAGCCAAGAAATCAAATCAAAGGAGATAACACAACAAAAAGGTCGAATACTACAAACATATATATATATATATATATATATATATATATATATATATATATATATATATATATATATATATATATATATATAAGGAGCATTAATGAGAGAGAAATATATCATTAAAAACAACTTATAACTGTATTGATGGGAGACAGCGTTGTTGTTGGTGTTGTTGTTGTTATAGCTATGGATGTCAATATTAATAAGCGATTGATGAATGACATATATAGACAATTATTTAAATGAATTCTGAAGTTCAATATTCACTATAAATTATGATTCAGTTTTGTATTTCTTTGTACTTCTTTATCAATTATTATTATTATTATTATTATTATTACTATTACTATTATTATTATTATTATCATCTAAGATATCATCTCGTGCATAATATAAATCAAGACAATTCACTCCATGAAATTGATCACGACTAATTTCTTCAATGGACATATGGGAATCTAATAATTGATAAGTATTTGTACTTTCATGATAACTGTATAAGATGAATCGAACACTTTCATCTTAATCAAAAAAAAAGAATGAATAGAAATTAAACAAATTAACAAAACAGAAACGATAAATATTCATTGAGATTATAGATAATTCAATGTAATGTGATCATATGAAACTAAAACTCAATAGGATTATGGTATAAGAATTTTGATGAACAAATATATAAAAAGAAATATTTATTAACATATGCTCACTAGTGACTGGCTTCAAGAGGTATTTCCTAGAGTTTCAGTGAGAAGCAGTGACTAATGCAGTCCAATCAGGTCGGTTGTGAGATAGTAACTCACTGATGACAATAATGGATGGGTCACTCAATTTCGTGGATTGGATGAAGTTGGACATTAACACCGTTAGATGACGGTCGGCTCAGTAGTCTAGTGGTTAAGCGCTCACGCGCGAGACTGATAGGTCCTGGGTTCGAATCTCGCGAGGCGGGATCGTGGATGCGCATTGCTGAGGAGTCCCACAATAGGACGAAACGGCCGTCCAGTGCTTTCGGGTTTCCCATGGTGGTCTGGCTTCAATTGACTCATCTTAACCATTGAAATATTTATTCCTTTATACTTAACTAATATGTCTCGTTTTCAATTTGTTATAACTGGTTGTCGTCACTAATTTTTATATCGGAATCGTTTATTACTTGTACTTGAAAAAAAAACGATAAACCACTGCAATTCTCACAACACGAAGTAAGAACAAGAAGACTGGTACAAATGAAGATTTATTCACTACAAAACACGACGACAACCCTAGTCGAAGATACACTCATTATTATATATTGGTTTGTACACCTATTTTGATTATTAATTAGAATAAAATCACATAAATGAAAAACAAATATCCAGAGCTATAAAGAACGATGTCATGCTGAGCATAGTCCATGTTAATTGAATACAAGAATATTGTATCTTAAACAATCATTACACTCAATTAAATTAATGTCATATCGAATAAGTTATCATACTGGATAAACAAAATAAATATTATACTGAATAATCATCGAGTTCCAATTTTTCTTTATAAAGACGCCAACAATGTTGCACAAAAATCACAATAAGTAAAAGAATGCAAATTTTCTTTCTTTTTCAATTCCCTCTTATCATTAACAGTTTGCGTTACTGAATATAAATTAAATTATGAATTAAATTCAATCGGTGTTGTTTACTTGTATCTTCTCATTGTTATTTAGGACTGCACAACTGATCAGTCTCTTGATGGTATATGTGCATCCTGTGCGGACTTCCTCACAATATTGCCTTAGGTCACAAGCTTTATAAACAAACATGGATAGTGACTAACAGTGAAATCCAGGACACGCGTTTCGTCCTATTTGGGACTTGTCAACTGAATGTACCTGCATCTCAAAGTTTATGATCACTGTGGGACTCGAACTCAGTACCGTTCGCTTCAAACTCTATCGCGTTATCCAATTAGCCACTGCTTGTGCAATGGGGTGAATTAGTTTGAATATAACATTAATTTGACTTTTCAGAGATTACCAATTTTGTCTTGGTTTTCTTATGTTAAACGAAGTAGCCAAAACTTAATTTTTAAGAAAAATATTATTGTGTATAAAATGGATGAGAAAATGATCGTTAAATAGAAAACTATAATTTTTCTACTAAATAATCCTTTTATAATTATTATTAAGCGAGAAATGGACTTAGTATAATATGTATAAATATATATCGTTTTATATGATCATCGAACAAGTAGTTTCATTTTTTTTTAATGGTCATTATTTTTACCGATCAACTACTAAGTAGTAGCCAATTTCATTTCTGATTAATCTCCTTTAGTACAAATCAAATTCGACAGACGAAATTTGAATTTGATCGCTAGTCTAATAGGCTTAATATCGAGTACACTATGTTTTGATTTTAAGTGGTTAGAGATAATAAGTAGGACACCTTGAACCTAGGTTTAGTGCGTATCGGTACTCGTCACAACGAGGTGTACTTGCAATTCGGAAGGAGATTATGATTCTTGGTGAAATTGAACTTTACATAAGATCAATTTCAGATCAAATAAATCAATGGTAACGCCTCAGAAAGTGAAACTGATTGACATAGATCAGAATCTATCAAGAAGCATCCTTAACAGAATGTATGACATAAAATGAAGTAAAGTCAATATGACCATATATAATATTCTAAATCAAGACAAAATCAAATAAATATTTAAAAGAATAGAATAGTTGAACTATATTTTGAAATAAACTAAGATAGTAAGTCATTTTATTCATACAATAGTAAAGATTATATAACTATGACTGCACTTACCAGATACTTCTCTGTTTATTCTTTGAAGATTAATACGTACAGTTAAATATCTACATAAATGATCAACTAAATTGAAGGTGAATAAGAATAACAATAAAGAAATAGACTGTAGCTAGGAAAGGATTATGTTGAAAAATGTCAAAATTAACTTATAAATTTCAGTTTTATTTCAATGAAACGGCTTAATAGTTTACTCTAGAGACTGTGTCTAATACAGGATTGGTATATCAAACAGTAATTTGCTCTTAATAAATATATGGCTGTAAAAAGCATCATAAGAAGATATGGATGATTTATTAGTGTCTGGTCAACATCTTTTCGAGATAATACTTACATCTGATAAAACCATTGAGTAGGTTTGGTTGAAGAGATACGAGACACATCTCCAACCAATGCCAAAGCTAACGTGCTATACTAACTAGCGTAGAAGTAGACTGGGTAAAGATTACTTAAGACCAACTCATAACAAGGCATAATTCTATGACATTTGTATATGTGAATAATGTTGGGAAGTGTTAACATTTTGATTGAGGTCTATGAGGTAAAACCTTAAGTGACATAGTCTAAAATCGATAGCAGTAGGGTAGATGTAAACCTTTTTTGTATTGCAGTACACATAAACAGAACCCTACTCTTTCTCATTTATCTCAATTAATAATTTTCAGATGGATAGTCCATGAGTTGCAAATTAACAACAAAAAGAATGTAATCATTCGCGTTATAAGTTATTTATACATATTTTTATCAGAGCAAAACGTAACTAAATGTAAATTATTGATGCCTGTTTGCAATATAAGACATACAAATTCGTTTACATGGCTTGAATTCACACTATAAATGTGAAGGATAGTGATGCGATCCGGTTAACCAAATCGAATTTGGTGGAGCGGTGTACAAATCTATGATGTAGGGTCAGCAATCAAAGACTAACAACTGAGCTACCGATTACTTAGGTTTGGGTGAGCAGGTATTATTATAGTTATTATTAGTATCTCTCAATCAAGAGTATTACTCAGTATCTGTGTACATAAACCTGTACTTGATAGACAAGTTACAAATAAGACAGAAAGAGTAAATTAATGAATAAAAGTTATTAAATGTAGATACTGTAAGGTACGGCTAACCTGTAGTTATTGTCGGAGCTTTAAGATATTTGATTAAACCATTTCCTTGATCATTGTAATTACTATTAGGGTTATTATTACCATTACTACTGTTAGCATTATTGTTATTACGATGTCCTGTTGATGTAGATGGACTACATGAAGTAGATGACACCATAGCAGTGGAAGTGGTATACTGCGAAGAATAACGTGGATGTGGTTTCAATAAAACTTCAATTTCAGGAAATACAGATGGTGATAACATAGATGAAGTTGAATTATTATTATTATGCAGAATACTACTATTATTGTTATTGTTATTAATAATACTACGATCCATGGAACAATTGTATTGAGTATGAGGATGATTTGAATCACCAGCACCGCCAGCAGTTGTAGTGAACATAGAAGAAGTAGCTGATGTATTATTACGATAATGTAAAACTGGTAAATCGGATACAGAACTATTTTCGCCAATTGAATTTGTATCCATTCCACTTTCCGTATCGGAATTATTAGTTAATTGATGCGATGTAGATGAGACACGTCGTGTTGAACAAGCACCATTACTGATAAACTGAAGAAAAACGGAATTACCAACATGAAAGAGAATCAGAAATAAAACACAGATATTAAATAGACAGTAATGTTAGGATTAAAGAAAGTTAAATTATTTTCATTATTACTATTGTAAAATAGTTATTGATACGAAATGATGGAGATTTGCAGTTCAAGGGGATACTTTTGGTGATATTCACATTGTCTAAGTTGGAGGGTTTAATCTCAAAGTTTTCAGTATCGATCTGAGCAACATTAACAGCGCCTAATTCAAGTAGAAGTGAAGTAGGGCTCTGGTGATATTGTTTAGAATGATAATGAAAGGTCGCAAATATACTATCCAGCATAGAAAATGAAAAAACCACAAAAAAAGTTTTGATTTTCAGTTGTCTATTAGAATCCAAGTAAATCCAGCTGACGATTCTGATAACATTTTCTACAAAGAAAGGTGTATCCTGTAATATATTGCTAACAAGCATTAGAAGAATGAAACTCACTGTGGTAATATCGAAACACATGCGCAAAAAACCTAAGACGTACTAAAAGCCAATCAATTTCCGTCTAGTTAATTGATAACAAGGAAGCTTCACCAACTAATAACTGGTTTCGGTTATTAGTTCGCACAGACGATAATACTTAAGCAACTAAGTGAGTTTTAGACATAAGACAAAACTGAACCAGAGGAGATACCAGTCATGTTGTGTTTAGGACAATTACTAATGACATTGTAAGACGGTCAAACCACGATATACTATCAATCCATGAGGTCAATGGATGTTGGCCTGAGCTATGCTGATAAGTGCAAACTATACAGTATGGATCCACATGATAATCGTGATCAATGATTAGAGCTCGTAGGGAACTTGATTTAAAATCGGTCTCAGTATCACCAGTGGCTTGGGAACTTTAACCGATTCAAGTCTGAATGATGTTCCAATCTGATCAAAACTGAATGAATCCCTTTCTAGAAAATGTTATTGCTTTTAAAAAAACCATGCTCATATTTTCCAGAATACATTATTTTGTCCTCCTTTCAAACATTCTAACTTTATATCTATTTTACATGCCACATTATTCACTGTACCACAATCATTTTCGGAATTTTATTTATTTATTCCGTCTCCAGTAAATGACCCATTTCCCCTAATTTTCAAAAGAAAGCGAAGAAACGTTAAAGCCGTATTGGCCTACTAACAATTGTCATCAAACACTTTTACAGAATTAACGTAATTCAATCTGAATAGGCATATGATAATTAAAAGTAGCTCAGTAGTGACTTACTTCAAGATCTTCTTGAAGTTCTAGCAAAAAGTTATAACTGGTAGAGTCCAGTTATTTTGAAAACGAAACAGTTGGTACCGATAGCATTGGATTGCCATCGCATCATCTTGTAAGTTAATAAAAAAATAGGAATTTTACCACTGAGCACAGACATAGTGGTTTTAATAGTTTAAACCTGAAAGCCCTAGGCTCATGGGTACGCACTGCTAAGGAGCTTCATACTGAAAGGAAATATTTGTCCAGTCCTCAATTGTTTTGAATAGTACTCCAAGTGAGATCGATCTGTGATAACTACTATCTACAAATTAAACCAATCTCTACAAAGCCCCTTCAAAAAATAAAACTTACATTTGACGGTGTTTCTTCTTCACTTATTCCAGCATCTGTATGTACTTCACTTGTTCCGCCATTACCAGCATTGTTATTGACTAGTGTTTGATTACGTCCAGTGTTGGTTGAATTTCGTGATCTACTGCCATTACTACTATTGGCAGTAGTATTGTTGTTGCCATTCAAGCCTAATTGTTGTTCCAGTGATCTTGTCAATGCTGCACTTAAATGTTGACGATTTAAACGTGCTAAAATCTTATCTTGATGTGCTTCATACTCCTTTTTTGATTGATGATAAAAACCAAAAAATGAAATGAAACTAAAAAGACAGTTTATACATTGATTAAACCAATGAAGAGTAAAGAAAGACTCTTACATTATATTAAAACACACACAAATAATTAAATAAAATTGCAAGTTCTGATAAATTCTTAACAGGTTCTACGACAGATATTAATACACTCAAATTAATGATCGAAGATGGATAGCCGATTTGAGCCAAGTACATTTTTATTAAAGTTGTATAGTGGATAATAGTGAAATGCAGAATGTGTGTTTCCTTCGATTTAGGACTTATTGGTTGAATGTAACTACATCTCAGTGTTGACGTTCTCACAAAAACTCAAGCCCAGTGCCTTTTGCTTCAAATTTTCACTGAAAGTCACCATTAAACTTTAGCATTTCAAATATATCGTTAAAACAGCTTAATTACAATTCCGAATTTTTTGTCCATTTTTTGGAAGAAAATGTATTTTATTTGCATGGGTTTACATTTTCAGGCTGTTGATATGTTAGAGACTATAATTGATCAGTCTCTATTGGTGTACATGCATCGTTAGTGGATTACCTCGATATTGGTATTTGGTCACAAGTTTTTGTTAATCTTTTCGTTTTTAAAAAAATTACATGAAATGACACAGGCTAACTAGAGATTTGTTTACAAACAATTTGATGGAACACACTTAGTCAATCATATGAAAAAAAGAGAATATATGTGAATATGGAATGACTTTTTAGCTGTTCTACTTACAAAGAGAGTAGATAGACCTATCAAAAAGAATATCCATCCATTTGCTCCTTCAAGATACTGGAGCCCATGTGCACCATTGGTTTGGAATCAGGGTTTCCCCACTCCCGGACATTCGCTTTTCGTCCTCTCGATTTCGTGAACAACACTCGCGCCACGAGAAGGCAGTGAGTAGGACTTCCGTGAAAGTCTATATACGAGTGGCCATGTGATTGCGTTTCGAGAGGGAGAGCGGACTCTCCCCACTTTCGGCCATACCAGGGCATTTGGGGGCCTTCAGCTTAAGGCAGAGAGGATTTCCCTGACAGGTGGCATAAACGCATGGCGGTGGAAGCATTTTTAGAAAGCAGACTTTCTCTACTTTTGGCCGTACAAGAGCATGAAAGATCGTGAAAACCTTGCAGTATAATTTGGCAGAGGGTTAGTTAAGGCAATCTAGTTAACATGGACTACACAACACTATTCACCCATATTCAATAAAATATCATGTTAAAAGTAAACCCAAAAAAGTAGTCAGGCCTTAAAATCTTTAAAAATTAAAGTGTGGCCATTCAAATCAAAAATATTAAAGATTTTCACCTACAATAATCACAAATAACTGATTAAAATTTAATAAATAGATAATATTTAGGCTGAACATAACATGTATTATTGTTTAGATTTGTATAAAAATCGTGAAACAATCGTCAAATGTTTATTTCACTCTGATATTTAAAGAGAACACACAATTAATTCCTATTTTTAGTATTATTTAGTGACAAACTACACAATTCTGAAGTCGACTACGAGTCACATTTTTTAAGTGCTAGTGATACCAGATGGTCGCGCAAACCGATATACATGGAATATTGTTAAGAAAAACAACTTTACGAGTTAGGTGCTTTAAGCTCTAGCTTTCTACACTGATATAACCTACAATATACATACAGTAAAGAAATTATGAAAGGAATTGGAAATGAGCATTACTTGACGACTTGGATAAATTTTTGAAATTAACGCATCAAAATTTGGATCTCTTCTTAACGATCTTTTCGACACCAACTTTTTACGACATGTTGGACATTCTTTGTTACCATTACGAAGAGCGGTGATAATACATTCAGAGCAAAAACGATGTAAGCATTCTTTCGTTGTCATAGTCACTTTTAATATATCCAAACATATTGGACACATTAGTTCACTCTTTAAGCTTCGTGGACTAACAGCAATAACTGTTCCATCGGTAATAGGCTCTTGTGGTTTACGATGTAATTCATACAAAGTAAGCTCCCAATTTTTTGAAGCATTCTCAGTACTCATTCCTAAAATAATAATAATAATAATAATAATAATAATAATAATAATAATAATAATAATGACAACTAAGAGTAATATGCATCCATACAGTTTGTAATAAATAAGAAGGTATGAGATTTCGAACTCAACAGATATTTGAGCAAAGAATTGTTTTTTATAACTTCATCATCAAGCTCTACATTTACAAACCCATAATTACTGTATTACAATGGTCAAAATATGTTTTATTCGAATTATTCGTCACTTACACATTAGCGTACTTGCGTTTAAGCAACACTAGAAGTATGAGAACTATTGATACTATTCAGTTGTGCAATTCGAAATAAGTAGAGTGGAGTCGTTCTTGTAACAACTATCGGGGGATAAGTTTACTTCCGATTGCGTCCAAGCTATTGGCTTTCGTCATTCTTCGTAGGTTGTTCAAAACCCGAGAAAGATTGACTCGCGAGGAGCAGGCTGGGTTTCGTTCTGGTCGAGGATGTATTGATCATATCTTCACCCTCCTCCAAATGTTAGAACACCGCCATACTTTTCAAAGGCCAACAATCGTAGTGTTTCTTGACATCAGGGCTGCTTTCGATTCGTTGGATAGGACTGTTCTCTGGGATTGTCTATTGAAGAAGGGTGTGCCTGAGAAGTTTATTCACATCCTAAAAGCCCTGTATAAAAACACCTCAGGCAGAGTGAGGGGATACAACCACCTCTCTCCATTGTTCCATTCGAGCAGTGGGGTTAGACAGGGTTGCCCAATCTCACCATTCCTCTTCAACTTTGCCATCGATGACATTCTGGAAACAGCTCTGATGAATGTAAGTAATGGTGGTGTGGATCTGTTGCCTGGAGAAAGACTTCTCGACCTTGAGTATGCGGACGATATTGTCTTACTGTGCGATAATGCCCAAGGCATGCAATCCGCACTTAATCAGTTGGCAATCAATGTCCGTAGGTATGGTATGTGCTTTGCACCTTCGAAGTGCAAAGTACTTCTACAAGACTGGCAGGATTCTAATCCTGTACTCACCCTGGACGGTGTGCAGATAGACGTAGTTGAGAAGTTCGTGTATCTGGGTAGCTGCATAAGTGCTGGTGGGGGTGTGAGTGATGAGATCAATGCACGAATAGTGAAAGCCAGAGCGGCTTATGCCAATCTGGGCCACCTTTGGCGCCTTCGTGATGTTAGTCTGGCTGTAAAAGGCCAGATCTACAACGCGTCGGTGAGAGTAGTTTTGCTCTATGCTTGTGAAATCTGGCCTCTCCGAGTTGAGGACGTTAGACGACTCTCTGTGTTTGATCATCGCTGTCTCCGAAGGATTGCTGACATTCAGTGGCAACACCATGTCAGTAATGCAGAGGTTCGGCATCGTGTGTTCGGGCACAGAGATGATAACTCAATTGGTGTCACCATCTTGAAACACCGACTTCGGTGGCTTGGATATGTTCTCCGAATGTCGTCCCAGAGAATTCCACGTCGTGCATTATTTGCCGACTCTGGGACTGGTTGGAAGAAGCGGAGAGGTGGTCAGTGCATGACATGGTGTCATGGCATGAAAGAAAGCTGCAAAGGACTGGCTTGTGTTGGTCCTTCACGACTCCCTGGCTGGGGTCCGAGAGATGGTGCTACACAGTGGCTAGAGACGTTATCAGATATGGCTCAGAATAGAAGCCAGTGGCGATCCTGCTGTAACCTTCTTTTACTTTCTTCACAAAAAGTGGTTGTATCTTCCTTAACTGAAAGATTTCTTCTGATTGTACCTCTTCGTCATTACTCTCTCTTTCTTTTGCGTTCCTTAGTTTTTTTTTCTTCTTTTTTTTTCTTTCTACTTCTCTTCGAATTCCCATTGTTTTGTGTGGCGCATATATATTGGCGCTCTCTTGTACCAATATTTATGTGTTCAAATAAATAAATAATAAATAAATATAAGCCCAAACCTGTGACCTGGTGTCTGAAGGTCGGACGCTTTAACTATTGAGCTGCCGATGACATAGTCCTTATGCCCATGACATAGTTCTATTTGGTGAAGACGCTGACAAAATGCAGTCTTCTGACCACTATAAGCAACAATGCAAGCATGTTCGGAACTCGATTCTCCCCCTCGAAATGCAAAAATGGGTGACATCGACACCCCAACTAATGATAGGAAGTGAAGAAAATGGGCGTGTCAACCGCTTCCCTTGGGAGTCTCATCAGCCCTTTTGGTTTGGTGTGTGACAAAACCTCAGCACGGATACAGACATCTCGACTAGCTTTTGCCAACTTACGTCATTTATGGCGTAGGCGAGACATCCGTCTAGCAACCAAAGGACGTGTTTACTGCGCAGCAGTTCGTTCCGTCCTACTTTATGGCAGTGAAACATAGCCGGTAAGAGTAGAGGACACTCGTAGGTTACTAGTATTCGACCAAAGGTGTCTTCGAAACATTGCTCGTATATCCTGGGGCCACCGAGTAAGTAACACAGTTGTTAGGAAACGGGTACTAGGTAATATTTACAGTTAGTGGTTAGGATTAAGAGTCAGATATCAGGTTTTCATCACAAACTGACATCAGCTATAATGCTAAAACTCTATTTAACCAAATGGATGAGTGAATTTTGCGCCAAAATTTAAGATCTGTTATCGTAAATCTGACTGGTTCGTCCATAAATTATATTCTCGCCAGAAATTGTTCAAAAAATGATGCAAACTCCAAAGATTTGTGTCTAAGTATAGTGAACACTTATTTAACTTGTAAACGTCAAGATATTTAGTGTCGAGATCTCTCATAAGTTAATTAGCTTGTATCACACTGGTATTAAACATAGTTGAGAAAAGAATCACGCATTGGTATATTAGATTTTAATTACCGATGAGATGATGGTGAAGGCTTGTTTCTCAGGAAAAAGGTCAAGAGATGGTGTGTTGTTTGACCTCGATGGTCTAATAGTGAATATTTTACTGTCTCCCCAGGCAACATCATTAGCACATACTTTAATAAGTGAGATACTGAAACTTCTTTACAAGTGAACAACTCGTTCTGCTGAGATGGAATTTGACTGACTTTTTTATTGCTCGAATATCTTTTTTAATGCCTTCTCTAATAACGTCATCTTTGACCTTACTGGGTAACAGATCATCTATGGTGATGGCCGAGAGCGAGGTGGGTTCTCCCTCCCTCTCGAAATACTCTCACACGACCGCGCGTATACAGCCTCTGCCAGGGAAGTCCTACTCACTGCCTTCTCGTGGCGGGGGTGTTGTTTACGAAAATGAGAGGACGAAAAGCGAATGTCCGGCGCTTTAACCGGATTCCAAATCTATGGTGCACATTGGCACCAGTATCCTGCGGGAACAAATGGCATATGAACCAATTTTCGGTCACCGGCTACCATGGGACTGCATCTCCTTACGATGCTCCACTGTCTTGTGGGTTAGACCTTTAGGTCAAAGGCTCGGGGTGTGGCCCCCTAAGATAACCACCTGCTTCGGTCTGGGCACCCGGGCAGTAACGCAGCCCACACGCAATTAATGAACTGAAATTGTGTGGCGCATATATGTTTGGCGCACTCCTGTACCAATATATATGTGTTCAAATAAAATAAGATAGGAGAATTAAGCTTACTTGAGAATTTAAGGGATGTGCTATGAATCTGCTAAATATATATATGTCGTTTATAAATAATTAAATGATCTAACAAATCCACTTACCTAATGTGTTGACTCAGTTGGAATGGATTGATGATAAAAGGAATCCTGATCTCGACACAGAAAAGTTACTTGTCTTTTCCAAACTTGAATGAATTTAGACTCAAGTAGTTATCTAAATACTCATTTAAAGTATGATATTTATTACACCTGTCCTCATGGTACTAGGACTGTTGGGAATAGAAAAAGCAAAAATACTATTAGTACTGCATAATCAGCCATCGAAGTATGATCAGTGTGTGTGAGAATAACAGGTACTAATGAGATTATGCACCGGAATGACCTTTGGGGTAGAAATAGGATATAAGCGGCATTATAGTGGCCAAATTGGTTCATTACGCTATTTTGCAAAGTCGATGTGGTAGACTAAATTGTGGAAAATTCCAAGTCTTCTGGCTATTGCTTTTGGAATATCGGAATAGGGAATTTCCCGACAATAAATTATTACGCAGAACCTGAAACAGACTAATGCGTAACATCATTCTAAATTACAACGAGCATTTTTTTAAACTGGAAATCTTGGAAAGTGATGTATTTTGGATGCTCTTCATTAAAAAAACGGTCGAGATATATGAAGTAAATGGTATATCCTGGATACTCATTCAAAGATTTTAAACTTCATGAACAATAACTAGAAGTACCTCATTAAAGCTTAAGGAAAATTGCATAATCTGTCAAAATCCAAAGCATGAGGAATTATTAGGAAAGACATATGGGTATATCATCATTCATAAAAAGTGACTTAGCCAAATGTCAGAAGTATAGCTGAAAACTCGTTACTGTTTGGAACGGCAGATGCCTATGCAGTTTAATGGACCGATCCAGTGTGTCAAATGCGAGTTATATTACCGATGACGAAAGGTAACTACAAGTTATTAGATAGTCCAGGATTAAACAACTCGATGCATCACTTATTTCTTTATACATGTAGCATTGTATTCGGTGAGTTCAACCACGAGATGTGGCTCAGAATCAGTCATAGTGGAAGAGGTACATTCACTCTTTATTTTTTCCCGAGTATTTAGCTTTAAAGCTACTTCTTACATTTTATTCCTCAAACTCACCTCTTACGAACTGCATTGACCAATGTTTATTCTTTTACGCTGTTATTGCTACTAATATTCTTGCTCTCTTAAAATTCTCGATAATGTTAATGTGGTATAAGAACTCAACTTGACGGATATTTATTTATTCGAACACATAAATATTGGTACGAAGGGGCACGGAGTACACGTGCGCTACACAGGTCACTTGATTCGTGTGTGAGCTGTGATACTGCCTGGGTTCCCAGGCCGAAACAGGTGGTTCCCTTAGGGGGCCACCCCGGAGCCCTAGACTTGAAGGTCTGGCAGATATTTGCGTAGGGTTTTATGACTGACCGACCGTAACTAGTTCATGAATGCAGATTACTTTAATATCGAACTGCAGAATGCTGATAAGTTGAGGCTAGAAACTTTGTCATTAATACCCAACGTTCCCGCATATACCGCTCTGCCTACTCTAATTTTGATAGCCTATCAGTCAGTCAGCTACAACGTTGGACCAGGCATATAAATGCATCGGTCTAAGTAGCAAAACGTCATCTCGTTTTGTTAGTTTATTTCATGGTGTGTCCAGAAGTAAATGCTACTATAAAAAAACAACAAAACCCATGAAAAACACACTTGTAGCGCAAAATACGTATGAACCGCAACACTCCAAATGAAATGTTCAAATGGTTCAAATGGTTGTGGACGGAATAGAAGAAGCTTACGCTTAACGGGCTTCCGTGTCTAGCAGTAGTAGACCACCAATACATCCAAAGGAAACCTAGGTATACTAATGATAACAGAGGAAAAAGAAATTGGTAAACCATGGTAAGATATTATCCTTAGTCCTTAGGAATATGTCAAGTTGCCTCCTAAAGGACTCCTGCAAAATTGCTTGGACTAGACCAGCCGGCAGAGTAGAAGTTGGGTCTACAGTCCGTTCAGATGTGTTGCGTTTCGACTTTCTGGATTTTACCCCTTAATTTTGTGTTTGAGCTAAACTTAAGTAGGTGTTTAAAGGGATGTCCAGAAGTGTCAAGGATATTGTAAGTCATTAAAAGGTTACCTCTAAGGCACCTATAGCTTAATGAGTAAAGATTTAGCGATTAGAGGTGCTCTTCCTAAGGCTTGAATTTGAGTCCTCGAACTGATTTCGTGGCTCACCTTTGGTTACGCTCCAGAGTGTCCTTATCCTTTTCGAGTGGGGTAGGAAATACTATGTTTCCGTACTCAAAATCTGGACGGATAAAACTATTGATTATATGGAAAGTTCTTCCGTCAAACTGTCCAAAATGCACTTCAATGTTACCAGTGCAAGGTTGGCTCGAAAGGCATTTTTGTCACAGTTAGTGTAAGACTTCAAATCGCAGAGTACCAGCACTCCTAAATCTTTTTCCATTTGGGATACTTCTAGAGAGGAGTTTCTTAAGTTGTAACTGTAGTCTGCAACATGTCTCAAATGTACTACCTTACACTTTGAAGTATTAAGGGCAAGTCCGTTCGAGTCAGATCCTCTTGAAGTGCCAGTGTGTCCTCTCGGTTGCGTATCACTCCAAAGTTCCACATCATCACTAAAAAGCAATATGTCAGACAATACCTGTTGTGGAAGATCGTCTATATAAATCAAGAGAAGTCCTAGTACTGAATGTTACGGGAGAACTGAAGACTTTTGACGGATTAAAACCTTTTATTGTACATTAATAATTTACTGTGCTTTTGGATGTAATTGTTTTACTTAACTTTTGAATTTGTTTGTTTATATCATTATTTCGGACATTTTGGTTTGTCTTTGGTTTGATATTTTGGTGCTCTTTTGTCTTTGGTTTGGTATTTGGGAGTTTTGCTCCGGGAACCTACAAAATTGAAGGTTTGTTTTGTAATTGTTATAATTATTGTTATTAGAACGACATTTGGTCGATTACTTGTGAATTACGAATAAACTTGGTATCTAAATTGGGACTTGGTTCTGTTGTTAATTTGGGTTCGTAATTTGCGAGTAGATCGATAGTCCGTACTTCAATAACTGGAACGAGCAAAACTTGGACGTAACATAAAGTTCTTCAATTATTGGTTCTGTGTTCATACCTTGGATTTTCTGGATATTTTGGGTCCAAATTCCTGGTCTTATTGGTCGATTTCGTTTGGATTAATTCGGATTTGTTTTGGTAATTGATTACTTGGAACAACAAATACGATGGAAACACGGAGCAAAAGGCTGAAGGAAAATGACGAAATGGATGGTAAAATTCTTAAAGCTGTTTGTGGTATGTCTGATGTTAATGATGATAAATGTGATGATGTTAGTCTTAATAGTATGTCCTCTAGCCAGCTAAGTACTTCTAGATTAAAATTAGATAAAGCATTACTGAGGAAAAGGAATTTAGAGAAGAGACTTGAATTAGAACGGCAACTTAAGATGTTAGATCTACAAGAAGAGGTTGATATCGCTGAACTAGAATGCAAGGCCATCGAGGACGATGAACGATTACCCGTAGATAAATGTGGGATAAATGCTAAAGTGGAAAATTATTTGGATTGTGATACTGGGTGTAATAATCACTCAGGGGAGGTATGTAACATCTCAAATGTCGATTGGGTTGGGGAGCTGAAGGACACGTTACATACAATGGTTAGTAACATGGTTTTACCTAAGATCGATATGATGTACTTTGATGGGCAGCCGGGTCAGTATTGCCGTTTCATTAGTCAGTTTAATAGCCTTATAGAGAGTAAACTGTCAGATAAGGGCCAATTGTTGTCGTATTTGTTATATTATTGCAAGGGAAAGGCCAGAACAGCAATTGAATCTTGCGTTTCTTTGCCCAGTGATTTGGGCTATGATAGGGCTAAACGAATTTTGTATGATTTATTTGGTAAAGAACATCTTGTTGCACGAGAACTAATTATTGAGTTATTAAACCATAAACCTGTCGGAGGATCGGCTGACGTATTAACTGACTTTGCGATTAAGTTGCGTAATGTATGTATAACGTTGAAGCAAATGGGATATATGTCTGACGTTAATTCTACGGCTAATTTGGAGGTATTAGTTTCTTGCCTACCACTAGAATTGCAGAATAAGTGGGTGGAAGTCGCCGATAAAATCATGATGCATGGGAAGGAGCCGAGCTTTGAAGAATTTGTGGTCTTTGTAGAAGAGAGGGCCAGAATTGCCCGAACCCGTTATGGTAGATTAGTACAGTGTAACTCAAGGTTCGGTAAAAGGAATTCTGAAGGCCAAGCTGATAGGAGATCACGCTTTCATGCAATTAGACGAGACCCAAATAGCTTAGTCAAGGTATCACGTTGTGAAATGTGCGAAGGTGATCATGAGGCGACAGATTGTCCAAGGTTAGCAAAAATGAATGTAAGAGGCAGGAGGTAAGAAAACGTGGTCTATGTTACTTATGTTTGAGGAAGGGTCACATAGCTATGACATGCAACTCAGGCATCAAGTGCGACGTTAAGAATTGCAAGGTTAGGCATAATTCATTATTGCATATTGATGGTATTGATAACCATGTGGTGAACCTAGCTAAGGATTGGAACTCTTCAAAGGTTTGTTTGGGGATCGTTCCAGTCAGACTATATGGTCCCAAAGGATGTTTGGAAACATATGCACTTCTAGATAGTGGTTCGGACACTTCTCTTGTATGTGAAGAATTAATTAATCAGTTGGGTATCAAAGGTAAAGAGACTTCGATAAGGGTGGCGACTGTAAACGGAACTACCAACTGTGATTGTTTGGAGGTAAATTTAGAGGTATTTTCATTAGATGAGCAGGGTTCTATAAGGATCAACAAGGTTTACACGACCAAGAAACTTCCAATCGATCATGCAACACCTTTAACCGAACTCCAACTGAAACGGTGGAATCATCTAAAGGACATAACCCTTCCGAGGTTGCAAAGTGATTTTGTAGGAATATTGATTGGGTGTGATGCTCCGGATGCACATTGGGTCCTGGAACAACGTCTAGGGGACAGGAAGCATCCGTTTGCTGTGCGTACTCATCTTGGTTGGATGATTATAGGTCCTAAGGGAGTATCAAGGTCTCTACATCAAGTTCAGTGGTGTCATTGTTCCACTAATGATATTTTGCGAGATTTAGAAAGACTATATAATCATGAGTTCGAGGATGCAGATACGTTTCGTAATGGATATTCTGTCGAAGATAAAAAAGCTCTAGAAATAGTTAACAGTTCGTTTAGATTGGAGGGTGGTCATTTCCAAGTTGGTCTACCATGGAAGTATGATAAGCCAAGACTACCGAATAATTTGGAACTGGCTAAACGCAGATTGGAATGCCTAAGGAAGAGGTTTATGAAAGATAACAGTCTTTTGGAGAAATATCAAGTTGTGATGAATAAACATTTAAGTAAGGGCTACATCACTGAAGCTAGTGAAGAGGGATTTGACTGTGATGCTGTTTGTTGGTATATTCCTCATCATCCTGTTATCAACCCTAAAAAGCCTGGAAAATTAAGAATTGTTTTTGATTGTGCGGCTGTCTATCAAGGTTGTTCTCTTAATGACCAGCTTTTGAGAGGACCGAATACTGTAAATAGTTTAATTGGTGTACTTCTACGATTCAGATTAGGTAACGTAGCATTAGCTGCTGATATCGAAGAGATGTTTCTTCAAGTAAAAATTCCGAGACAAGACAGGGGAGCATTTCGTCTATTGTGGTGGGAAGACGGTGATATACGACGAACGGCTAAGGAATATTGTTTAACAGTTCATCCGTTTGGAGCCGTGTCCTCTCCCTTTTGCGCTAATTTCGCTCTTAAGAAGACGGTAGATATATTCGGTAAGGAATTCAATGAAGATATCCAGGATGTCGTAGATAGGAGCTTCTATGTCGACGACTATTTAGCCTCTATTGATAATGTACAGGATGCAATTGAGCTGGCAAAGGCCCTTGGTTCTCTCCTCAGAAAAGGTGGGTTTAGACTTACCAAGTGGATAAGTAACTGTTTACAAGTTCTTGAATCAATTCATCCAGAAGAGAGAGCAGAAGCCGTAAGAGAGATTGACTTTGAAAGACTTCCTACGGAACGCACGTTGGGATTATTTTGGAATACTATGGTTGATTCGTTTGATTTTAAAGTTCGCATACCGAAACGCCCCCTCACTAGGCGTGGTATATTGTCAAGTGTAGCCTCACTTTACGATCCTCTGGGATTGGTAGCACCGTTTATACTTCCCATGAAGCAGTTACTTCAGCGTTTAGGTAAATTGGGACTAGGATGGGACGAAGAGATTCCAAATGAGGAAAGCAAACGTTGGTTAGAGATTTTAAGTGAATTTAAAAGGGTTGAGAACGTTAGTTTTCCACGTTGTGTATTGTTTCCTCAATCAGATCGTTCGCTCCTGGAACTTCATATTTTCAGTGATGCATCGGAAACTGGATATGGTGCAGTAGCATACGTCCGCTCTTACAATTTTGACACTGAGATATGTTCTCGTCTTGTTATGGCTAAGGCAAGAGTAGCCCCCTTGAAGGTCCAAACTATACCGCGCTTGGAACTGTCGGCAGCAGTTTTAGCAGCTCGCATGGGGTACCAGCTGCAGTCAGAATTAGACATTAAGTTTGCAGAGGTTAATTTTTGGACGGATTCCATGATTGTCTTACACTATATTAGAAATGAGAAAAGCCAGTTTAAAACATTCATAGCAA